ATCATCATCATCATCATCATCATCATCATCATCATCATCATCATCATCATCATTGCAGATTCATCGATATCATGCTCATAACTGAGCCTAGACTACAATAGGAAACAGCTGCTTTTTCTTTCCTAATCCTTACTATCGTAATTTCCCTCATCATCATCATCATCATCATCATCATCATCATCATCATCATCATCATCATCATCATCATCATCATCATCAATATTATAACTGTCGTTGTCTTTTCAATAGTTTTTGTGTTTTGTGGAATATATCAAAAAGACGTAAAAACTGGTGAAATAAGGAGAAAGCCAGACAAATAATAATAATATGTACATGTCTTGTTCCTACCGACTTTGACACAAAAGCAGTTTATTTTATCAGTACGCCTGACCAGTTGGTGGGTGCTGTGGTGTGGTTTGCTCTTTCTATGTAATCAAACATCTATTGGTGAGTGGTTGGTGGGTGCTCTATTCTGGTTTGCTGATGCTTCTTTTCTATGAAACATATATCGTCCTTATTTCCCCCTTCTTCTGTTTCATGTTTGTTACTCTCTTGTAACACCTGTAATCTTCTGGTGCTCATATGACCTTATGCAGATGCGAGCGCCGTAAAACTCGTAGAAAAAACAACAACACAACAACAACAACAACAACAACAAAACCAACATTGTCCTTATTTTTCCCTCTTTGTTGTTGGTATCTATTGTTACTCTCTGCACTACCTCTGATATCTTCGAGTGGCGCTCATATTATGACCTTATACAGTTGCGGTGGCCGTAAATCTCTACTAAAGCCAAAACAAACATCTGATATCTTCTGTACTTTAAAGGAAAATCTAATTTTTAAACTGCAATTTTAGAAGTTTTACGTCCCCATAGACACTATGACGATTATTTAGAGGTCGGGCAGCTTTGTACTTGCCTGCCGGGACAGACCCGGGCTACCCCCTGGGGTGGTGCTACTGACTGAAGTGTTTTTAGGCCATTCCCAAAGAGGGGGACATCAACATCTCGAGTTCTTATGCACAGTAGAATTGTAATTGTAAATGAGCTGATTCATCAATGGCATGCTCATAACTGTGTCTGGACTACAACAGGGAACAGCTGCTTTTTCTTTCTTAATCTTTACTATCGTCATTTTCCTCTACTTCTTTTGTATATTTGTCACACTCTTGTGACCCGTTATTTCCGGGGTGCCTTGATAGTCGAATCAGACTTTGTGCTGGTGAAGCTATAGAGGTGAGCAGAGTAAGTCTGTTCCCTGTAAAGACTTCTCTTTTGACATCCGCCCCTTGGCGCTCGTACCAGTTGCGAGCGTCGTAAAACCTCTACTAAAACTAAAACAGCCCCGGGCTGAGAGGGATACAACGCCCCTGAAGAGAGAAGGAGATACTCGATAAAAACATCTCCTTACTTGGGAATCGAACTCCTGTCTCTTGTGTGTTACAGTGAGGCGTTACATCACGAACACCTGTAGCCTGAAAGTTAGCTACTGGACTCGTAATCGTAAGGTTGCGGGTTCGTGTGTTCGAACCTCAGACACGACGATGTGTCTGTGGGAAAGGCACTTTACACGAATTTCCCCCACTTCACCCAGGTGGGAATAGGTACCCGGCCGCAGACAACAAAAGATTTTGTCAGTATGTTCATGTTTTTACCCCTATAAAATGGCAGCTTACATTGTATGCTTCCCAGGAAGTTACGATTGCTTTAGAATGCTATCAGGTCTGCTTGGGTAATAATGTAGATTTGAAAGGCTTGCTGTTGAGTGTGATAAATCATTACTGCTTTTTATTGTAATATTATTCATAGTAATATTATATTGTACGTGTGATATGCAGCCAGTTCTGCCGTGTTGTTGGAATGTATAAAAGTTGGAATGTATAAAAGTTGAAATGTATAAAAGTTGAAATGCATAAAAGTTGGAATGTATAAAAGTTGGAAGGTACAAAAGATGGAATATTTAATATATGAAAGATACAATGTATAAACGTTCTGGTGTGATCTGCTCCTTCTTTTCTATCAAACAACTATCGTCCTTATCTCTCCTCCTTCTCTTTTGTGTGTGTTACTCCCTTGTAACACTTCTACTCTTAGGACGCATTTATGGCCAAATTGTGTTGCAAGTGCCGTGAAATGCTTATTAAAACAAAAATAAAAGTTGGACGGTTTACACATTTTTCTTTGCCTTACTTCATTTGTCTCGTGAATCTTAGTTGTCCTCTTTTATGTTGTGTGTGTGTGTGTGTTTGCATGTGTGTGTGTGTGTGTGTGTGTGTGTGTGTGTGTGTGTGTGTGTGTGTATGTGTGTGTGTGTGTGTACGGGGTAAATACCAAACCAATGTGCTTGGATCTCGACAATAAAGACCTCAACTCATCTCATCTTAACAATAATTTATCTTAGACGAACCAGTGTTGGAATGGTGTGTGTTCTATATCCGCGTGACCATTGACAGAACCAACTCGGGATGACAAGGATACAACATCCCAGCAGGCATATTGAGGTTTTTGATTATTAGAAAGGGAAAAATAAATCTTCTTCTTCTTCTTCTTCATCTTCTTCTTCTATCTCGTGGTTGGGGCAACCATGGGGGCACCACTGCATCTGAAAACCAGCTCTCGCCATTTATCTTTGTCCTCTGCTTTCCTCAGATTGTCACCCATCGTTTTTCCTTTCCATTCTGTAATGTTGTCTTCCCATCTCCTTCTCTGCCTTCCTCTTTTTCTCTTTCCTTGTACGGTTCCTTGTAGGATTGTTTTGGCAAGTCCTGTAGATCTTGTGACATGCCCATACCATTTTAATTTTCGTCTCTTCATTGTGATCAGTAGATCTTCATGCTGCCCCACTGCATAGGTGATTCTGTTCCGTACCTCAGCATTTGAAATGTGGTCTTTGAACGAGATGTCAAAAGTAATTAACTAGAATAAACCAAAAAGAAAATACCCAACAACATTCAATCAAATTAACACACAAAAAAAAAAAACCCAAAACCCTTCACCTTGGAATCGAACTCAGGTCTCAGGTCTTCAGCGTGCGATGTCGAAACACCTCGCTCGTACAACCCATATTGTGTGTGTGTGTGT